ATTTCTCCAATAATGGCTTAAAAAGCACAAGCCTCCAAATGATACTCTGAAGACATGAGTGACTACATTTCCCCGTCAATTTAGCCGCGTTGATTCAGAAATGACAATTGAAAACAACTTGTTATGAAATAGTTTGATAACACGGCAACACAGAACAACACAAAATATGGACACGAATCAAAGCCCCGCGTACGTTGATGCCCACAAAAGATTGATCAAACTTGCAGTGGAAAATTTTTATTAATTCATTAAGTCCTCCCATTGTTCGTGGAGGACCCCTCCCCCTTTTTTTTCTTCCTCTCTCTCTAGGCAGATTGTTATTATCCTGTGATATTTGTTCAGCAAGTACGGCTTGAACTTAGGACTAACACATCATTTTCACGAGGCAGCAGGAGCCGGACTACCGTGGGGGGGGGGGGGGATTTACCCCACGGTCCGCTCAATATTTCGGATTAAGGGCCGAAGGAGTTATGGTCCGAGGGCCGGTAATAATAGGCTGTGTTTCATATAGGTTTGAGGGCCCTCTGGGGTAGGGGTGATGGCACTTCGCTAATTCAGTAAACAACGCATGTTGCCGTGATATAGTCATATCGTGACATTGCAGGCAATCTAATGACAACTTGTACATGTATATATATAATGTTATTGTCCATATCGTATTTGTTCATTGTTTGTTGATTTTATTTCGGTATCACTTTGTCTGTGTGGGATCATGAATTGTCGCAAAATTAAAAAAATGCCTAAAACATACCTCAAAGTTGACACTTTTAATTTTATGATTAAAAAATACACTTTCTCATGAGATCATAAAGTCAAATGATCCGACTCCTTAACGATACTGTAATCTTTTGCCACAGTAACAACCGTTGAAAGGAGGTTGTGATATGCTAGTGCAAGGATTCAGATTGGTTCGAAAATTACCGTGTAATTACTAGTGTAACAGTATACACAAAACAATGAGTGCGTACAGATCAATAGTGTGCTATGCCCGGCGCAAATAATGCGTCATTTAGACTGCGTTATTACTTGCGTTAATCAAACCCTGTGATAACTAGCCCTTATACTGGTAATTCAAAACGGTGTTCGCACTGCTCATCTTGCATTCATTTTTTTGTAGAGTGTCCTTCTCACGTGGCGCTTTAGAGATCGCACTAGTCGATGACGGAGTCTTACGTCAGCGAATTGACGCTTCGTGTAAAAAACGGATATTACAACTCATGCACAGCGTCATCATCCGGAGGTGGCCTATACATTCACTGCTACTGTCACTGTGACATACATTTATCGAATTGAACTATCTATTGGCGCCCCTTTGCGGGGTGGTGGAATAGCACAAATTATCCCTTACCGTAAGATTGTTGCATTAGGAGTATACACAACAGTTTTACTAGAAAAAGACGTTTCCTGACGAATAGTTCATTTTGTATTGCTGACTTCACGAATAGTGAACCATTCGTTTCCACCCCCCCCCCCCCCCCAGCAAACGTACAGGATTTCAAATGCTTCCAGTGGGCAACTCCCGCGGTGTCACGGCGCTTACTTCGTGCAATTTACGCTGAGTCGCAGTAACTGTCCTACACTACTGCAGTACCTGTATAGCGCCAGCTAAATATATTTACATCCTGCAATGTATAATTTGAGCTGTACAATGCTAAATTGTCATCCATCTAAATTCATAAACATATCTATAAAAATTGAAACACTTGGACTGTCGAGGGTGACAAAAATAAACAGATCACTTAGTTTCTCATATACATGTATGCAAATGAAATCATTAGTGTTCATTGACTATAATGATAAAACAAATTATTTTATTACCGTAATTTTAAAAATCTAACTTCTAAAGAAATGTACAAGTTTTGATCACATCTTCTCGCTAATACAACAGTTTAGGTTTTTCCCCCGATTGTCGGGTCTAGATTTCTCAGGTCAATATCATACTCTCAGTAAAAAGCAGTGTTAACAAATTTAATGACCTGTTTAGTATACTCCATGGCCGGGTATTTACCTATACTCATTCACTCTCACATATCCGACCCCAAATGGGGACAATTTTACTTTAAAGCAAGACTAAATGAAAACAATAAATGATGTTGATATTTATTCAAGGAGACATAAATACTGTTGTACACTTCCACCCCAAAAAACACATCAACTTGTTCACGAATTATGCAGACTTCTGTACGAAGTGCTTATCAGAATGAATACTTTGCTGCAATTACCACTAGCCCGGATTCTACTATCAATATTTGACTGAAATTAGTGATGATAGGACAACATGGCTGTCTAAGATTATGTAAGTCGTTTTTTTTTAAACTTTTATTCCAAGATAAGAAATATTTTGAGGGATTGTCTAAATTTTCGGGTTTTCTCAAAATTTTGCTCTACAGGACTATAATCTGTATTTCATATTATTTACTTTTTCGTGCTTTCAATAAGATAATACCAAATAATCTAATATTACCCCCCCCCCCCCCAAAAAAAAAAAAAAAAAAAAAAAAAATGAATACCTTTTTAGACATTAAAACATTACTTTTTAACAAGTAAAGAAAATACACATTATGGAAAAAAAAAAATTATAATTAAAAAATTAGTGAACACAGGAGACCGCCATCATAATTCTTTCAAGGAATTCTTTGAGCTTCGAGCCGAATTTTATTGCACTTAAAAAATCAGTTTGGTGAATTGTCTTGAACACCTTGTAATTCATTTTTTGGCAACTGTTGATTTTTTTATAACTAAAATAGCATAGCTCAATATACACAGACGAGAATTGAACAGTTACCATGGTAACTTAGTAAGATGATAGTTTGGGTTATGTATATACGTCACAATAGGAAACAGATCAACAAGCGTTACAAAAACTGAGTACAGATTTACAAGGCACATTGCCCCGAAATACTTTTTTCAATTCGATTCTTCTTCCAGTGTAAGTGCTGCTTCAAGGTGATGAAGATAAACGCACTGGTTGTGTGTGTATATTTGGAGACTTTCACATATCCTGTTATTGCACATTTTAACTTTTTGTTCTTGTTG